ATAAGATGGAATTAATTGTGCAGCTCTTCTTTTTATAATGTCATTTTGGGCCTTAATTCAGGAAAGCAGTCCTAATGTCCAGCCTGGTGTCTTGGTGCCTTGCTCTTCTGAGCATGAATACTTTAATGAATGCGTTCAGATGTCTCAGTTTTAAATTTATATTGTGAAAATGTCACAGGAATTAATTAGACCACAAAACTGTCATAAACATGAGGCGTACAAAAATACTTTCCAGAATATTGTATTTGCATTTCTAAAAGCCCCAATCAGTTAACTATAAAGTTAACATTTCCAGAGTAATAATCCTTCATGTTGCTCAGCTTAGTGTAGTCAGTATTATTAGTCATGCCCTGCTTCAGATATAAATGAAGTAACATCTGTTATCTCCAACAGGAACTCTACTTGTCTAGAGCCTACTACAAGACCAGACTTCATATACCTACACAACTATTAACTGGCAAGTTTTTGTAGTTTAATATATTTATTAAAGTGTAGGTGTGTAGACATCTATAGTTAAACTTTACTGATGCCTTCCATTGTGAGGTGTTTATAAAATTGCCAAACTTGAACTGTTCAGCTGAAATTTTAGTACCATGTTACTGACATTAGGATGATTTTTTTCTTTCATGGGGAACTTGAACCAAAACTTGAACACTTTCTGTAAGTTAAGAATGTTATTAAGAAGAAATATGTTGTTCTGCCTTTGTTAAAACCTATGAACCTGTTTTCACTGCTGTATCTTCCTCTTTTGCAGCAGGAACTGAGAACAGGAGGTTGGGGGAAGGTGGTAATATTTGCTACTCTTATGCAACACAGTCTAACCCCCTTTAAGAATACGATTCAGTGCTGCAGGAACACAGCCACTGCCCCTCTGTAAATATCTCTTCAAACTATCATGAAAAATTTTAGTGGCAGAACAAAGGACTGAACGCCACGAGGCTGTCCTTGTTTTCTTCCTTTTTACCAAACAATGTAAGGAGGACAGAAAAAGCAGTCATTTTAGCTAACTGTGTGACTCCTTTCCAGTTCTGTGTATTTAACACAATGAATGCTCACTGGTAATCATGCTTCGGTTGATTATTCAAGTAATGATACAAGTTGATTACTACTTGGTTTTTCAGGTGACTGAGCTAAACAGTCAGTTTCAGTGCCACAGCATTGCTATAAAGTGTGGTGCATGCCTTTTTGCATGACCTGGCACACAAGGCATGCAAAGCAAAGCTGGTCTTCCCAGGAGCACTGTCAGATGTGGTACTTCAGAAATACCATACCCACCATTTCTGTGCAGTGTTCTCCTTACAGAACACTGTGGCACTAAAGGAGAGAAATGTGAAATAAGAAGTTGAAGGTTTAAAATTCTTGCCTTACTTATAATACCTTTATTAATACAACATCCATTTATGGTTTTTTTTGTTTGTTTGTTTCTAGACAGCTACAAGGCTGTAGGATCACTTTTGTGGCTCAGAGCAAAACATCAGGCTTCTAATTAACAACCATTTTGTACAGAAGATAAAAATAAATCCAGAAACAAGTAAAACTTACCCAACAGCAGGATTCACAATTCTAATATAATCATAGCATCTTCCAATGACAATACTTTCCAGGTTTTGTGTTGTACCTTCACCTTTCCATTTTCTTCCCTGCACTTCTGAGCTGTTCATAAACAGAACAGAGACAAGTAAGAGAGGCAAAAACCAGTTCTTCATCATGAACTCTTGACAACCCGAATTCTTGAAAAAAAAAGGAGGGGTATAAAAAAAAGGCAGAGTTAAATGATACAATTTAAATGGAAACTTGGAGGTTTAACGTTTAATATTTCAATACTGGCTATAGCTCTGTACACAAAAGACAAAGTAAGACGTAAATCTGAACCTTGGGGACTGTAATCTAACTGTTTCCTGGAACGATTGCAGCACAAAGACACATCACTTCCTCGTGTCTAAATATTCCCTACTTCAGAAAAACGGGACTTTTAAGGTCATGATATTGCCACCTGGTGATAACTTGGAAGAATTACAATATATTTCAGGAAAGGGAGAAAACTCCCCTTACCCCTTCAGTATTTACTATGTTTTAGTTTTGCTTAATACTGTCATGCTGCACCTTCCTAAAACATCACAAGTGCTTGCAAGCAGCATGTTTTAAACCAGTTTCCTTTCGTTTTAGAAGAGCTATACTTTTTGCACATATTTCTCTAGTGTCTGGAAAAAGCGCTGAAATACATACCAAGAAAAAAAAAATGCAGGTAAAGATATGATTGCATAAATACCCAAATTCTCAGGTGCTTTTGTATCACACATAGGGGTAACATTAGGCAACTCTTTCTCCACCTCTCCCCTGGTTCCTGACAGCAACATTTGGGTACAACGATTTGTGTTTAAAAGTCGTCTTCATGAACAAAATGTCCTTGCAGGCAGGAATCAATCATTATGAAGAACCAAAGGATTAAGACACTTCCTGTGCACTGAAGAAACTTCTTCAGCTTCTGTTTACTCTTATTGTCCGTCCAGTTTCTTCTCCCTGCGTACTTTGTAGATCATCAAATGGCATCAATTAATCCAGTCTTCAGTGTAAGTGTTCTGGGGTGTACACTGGCTGCAGATACAATTTTTTCCCTTAAAAAAGAAAATCAACCTTAGAGTAATTTATCTATGGACTCGCATTTCTGAGGAACAGGCTGGTTCTTCTATTAAACAGCCTCCATGACTCAGTGAATATAGACATCCTTATTATTTATGTAATTTGTATATAGTGTCATGCTTACATTGATGCATTGGTACTCAGCTGATGGAATTTGCTAAAGGCAAAATTTTGCTAATCATTGATAAATTGCTGATGATAGATTTCTCCTGAGAATGTGATAGAAAGATAACCAGTTGGTTTGTTACCTACAACAGAGTCTTCAGGAAAGCCAGACTTACCTGGAAGTGGACGTGCAATGTTGTTCTTGATATGGTGAAGGCACAGCAAGTGGAGTACTTCAGTTACCTCTCTGATGCTTTTTCTCTCTATTTCTCTTCCTGACCCCTCTGAAACATGGGCATGCTGATAGGGCACCAGCATGTTAAACAAATAGTTTAAAGTCACTGCTTTGGGTTCAGGATTAGAGAGTGCAATATTCCATGGAAGTAAATTAGTTTTGTCTTTATTATCAACTTTGCTGCAAACAAATTTTGCTCAATAATTTCAGGACAAGAAGAAAACAGGCATCACCAACACGATCTTCTATATAGAACAGGGCAGAAATTGTCATGGATTTTTGGATTAACTAAAATTTCTGCTTACAGTATACATCATAAGTTAAAAAGACATAAAGATGGATGCTGAGTTTTGGAATTGCTTTTCTCCAAGAACACACCAGGTTAGGATTCATGAGCTCTAGTAAGAAGTGAGTGCTGCTCAGTGGTGGTGTTCAGTAAAGGGACGACCTGATGTAGCATGCCAAAGGGAATGGAAAGGAGTCCAACAACTCCTGGGATCCCCATTTCATCCCCTATTGAGCTGCCTTTCCTCACCGGCCACTTCTAGAAATCATTGGGCCAGAGGGGCCTCTGATCCGACTCATCATAGCCATTTTTAATTTGTTCTTAGTTTTGATTTAAATACTTCACATGATGGATGAACATTAGTTCAACCTCCAAGGAAGCAGTTCCAATGCTTTGATAGTCTTGGGAGTCAAACCTTAGCTCTGGCCTGAACTTGTCTACCTTTAGTTTCCAGTCATTGGATCTCATGGTGTCTTTTTCTGTTACATTAATGAACAATCTATCCCCTGAATCCTTCTCTGCATGTAAATTTTTGTAGAAAATGACCAAGTTTCCCCTTAAACTTCTCCATGAAAAATTCAATATTTTAATCACATTATCAGGGATTTACTTGTAGAATTGTATGTCACTGCCAAAAATTGGCTGTCCATGTTGCCTCTCAAGCTCTGCTTATTCACGTTGGATCAACATCCCTTGCTCTTTGCCCCTCTCTCCTAGAAGAAGTTATTGCCCATGAAGCAGAGTCAGCGATATTGGCAGCATACCTGCTCTGAAGATAGTCTAGTTCACAAACAGAATATTAACTCAAACGACCATGAAATTCTACATACGTTTATATTTTGAAGCCCTGGAAGGTGAAGAACAGACATGTTCCCTCTTGTTATTTCTACCGGATGGGAGTGGTAACTTCCAGCAGAAGGGAGGTGTAACAGGTGGGAACATTAATCCTCTGTTATTACTCAGACGTGAATTGCTGGCAGAATAATCTCAATTCTGTACAGCTTCATGCTTTAGGCCTGGAAATAGGACGTTGCTCATATTAACAATGTCCTCTGTAAGCCAGGAACTTCTCCAAACATTGTTTCTTGAAGGTTTGTGTCTCTGGTGCATAATGTAACCCAAAGTCTCACACGCTCCCTTGTATGCTACGATACACGCTCTGTGCACGGAACTCACACGCCCAAAGCCAGAGCTGTGCTTCTGACCAAGCAGAAAATAGAACGGTGTGCTGGCTGGCCAGCTGCATTAACACCTGTGCTCTGCCTGCCTTCTCTTCTCTTGTGTGTAACTGCTTTTTTTTTCCCCCTAAAGTTGTACTAATGTAACCTTCCAAAATTCGTACATATTTGCAGATATGATTAAGTAGGCCAGCATGTTCAAAAGTCCTTGAAGGACGCGTGGAAAAGGAAACACCCAATGCTGCAATTGCTTAAGCCTCATTTCCTTAGATAAAGAGATAAAAAGATTATTGTGTACAGCATGATCTAGGTAACACTCATCATGTGATCTCTCCTTCTCAATTCGCAATCTACTACTTTTACCGGCAATAATTTTGCATTTTATTCCCAAGCATTAGTACATTGAGGGATACTGGACCAAAAACTTGTGTGCCTTTGCTCAAAATATTTCAATCTACTTACAATGAATTGCTTACGTCTATAAACTAGCTAGTTTGTAATCAATTTAATATCTGCAACATGGATTTTCTACAGTAATAATTTTCAGTCAGAAAGGTCTGCTGCATTTATTATATGTTTAACAATGCATTTTGGGGACATTTACTACACACTGCCATGCTGGTCGACAGGTTTGCTACACATTGTCACATTGGCTGACAGTTACACCTTCTGTCAAGCTGACGTGTAACCTCAGTTCGGCTGCATGTTCCAACTTCTTTAGAAATGTTGCATGGACAGATGAGCAGCAAAGGCTAGTCGCTGCTCCTGTCTTGGGTGTTGCACAAACATTTGGTGTGAGTGCTGCAAAAGGTTGGGGGCAGATTCTCCACAGCAGCCGAGTTTGGGGCAGCTCATACAACTTCCCTCTCTAACACCAAGTGCTCCGCGGACAATCTCTTTATGCCTCACACCGTCACCTCCTCAGTTTATTTGGGTGAAGCGAGTTTGCTTTACCTCACGTAGACGTACAACGCAATCCTAAATTCCTTTCGATTTAAGATGTGGCACTTTGGGACATAGGGTTGGGCTTGATGATCTCAGAGGTTTCCCAACTTTATTGATTCTATGATTCTAACTAAATTAAAAACTAAAATGATTCCAACAGCAGTGCCCCAGTGCGCCGGGTAACCCTGTGGGCCTGGAGACCCGCTACGGCAGGAGCCCGCCCGCAGCACCGGCATTTTGCAG